TCTTGTCTCAAGAAGCATTTAGGACCTAACATTCAGCCTACAGTTTAGTTACCAACCATCACGGATGCAGGAATACTACAAGACGTTCCGATAGCAATTTTGGAGAAGAGGTTAATAAAAAAAGGAACTACTGTAGCAACTGAAGTCTTGGTCCAGTGGCAGAATCATGCTCCAGAAGAGGCAACTTGGGAGAACTACTCTGAATTGAAATCTAGATTTCCTTTGGTGTCCCAATTATGATGTGTCGATTCTCTGTTGCTTTGTAATCCTTTTGTGTTTTTTAAGTCTTGTGTTACAAGCCTTATTTTGTGGGGGGTATTGATAGGATGCTGTGTATGACAAATTAGCACGGTTATATTGGTGAGTTGGCAGTGCTGATTAGGATAAACAGAAATTAGTTGGGATTGTTGGTTGTTATAGGGTTGTTAGAGAGTGACTTAGTGGGAAAGCTACGCAATCATTATATAAGGAAATACTGTAAGAAGAAAGTTGTTTTTGAAAATGTTATTACAGTAATAAGAAATACATCATTCACTGTACATTGAGTAGAAGCAGAGCATGGGGTTATATCAAAAAGTGAATTATATCTAGCGAAAGATGAAGTTTAGAGATTGCTAAATGGGTTTTACACCCCAAATCATGTTAATGATATCGAGCGAAAGCTTTAGAATACATTAATGTACGACATACATTTGTGAACTTAATGTTTGAGTTGGGGCTATGCAAGATGGTACTTGTTGAGATGGATCTCTGATATTGTTGAGTGAATAACCATTTTGCATATGGGTTTGCTGATGGTACTACTTTCAAGCTTGGGGCCTCCATCTTCTAGAGATATCCATAGGTACTTTGTCTGGCCTTTGGCAGCTAAGCTCTTCTGGCTAGGGTTTGCTGAAATTATTATTTTCATCTCTATTTTTGAATTTGACCCATTTGGTCAATTATGTTTTAGAATTTTTTTTTGGCTTAATTAGATTAATAGTCTCCGTAGTGGTAGTGTTAGAAGATAGCCCATGTGGTATAAAAATTAAAGCTCCTATGGTGAGGTCTGTTAGAATTTAGGCTCAAAATTGAAAGTTTTGTCAAACTCTCCGTTAATTGTTAGCAAATGAGGCTCGAATATGAGACTAAAAAGATAAAGTTAGCTTCACTTGTAAGTCTCACATGCTAACGATTAATAGAGAGTTCTATTTTAGTCTAATATGTGTGGCTAACATGCTAATAATTAACGGATAATTGACGAAATTTTCAATTTTGAGCCTAAATCATAACAAACTTCACTACAAGAGCTCAAATCCTAGTTTTTATTTATTTATTTATCAGGGGCAATTTTCGAACTACCTTATTACCATGAGGACTAATAATCCCATTTGACCAATTTTTATGAGGTTTTATTTGAGATTTAATCGATAATATAAAGAGTGATTCAAATGAACAACACTTATGGAGTACGTTTGATCAATGAGCTTTCACATATGACCTGGTCCAGAGTTTTATAGTTCATGCATTTGTTTGTACCTATAATACTGTAAAGGAAGAAGTTTTGGATGTAGTGTAACATTTGAAAATTCAAATGTGCCCTTTGTAAAATAAAAGAACTAAACTGCAGTTCCATTAAAGATCTGATATTTTCAATTCTTCACCCTGTTCTATTAAAAAATTGTAAATTCAAGGGTATTTTAGAGTTTTTACTTTTTCCACATATATTTACCTTTAGACTATCCCACTAAACCAATCTCAATTCCATTTTTGTCAACTCTAATTCAAACCCTGGAGTTAGGGCTTTTTTTATAAAAAAATAAATTATTCAACCAACAGAAAAATTCCAAGCAACAATGTGAAACTTTTGGTTGCAAGCGGAGTACTCGACAATACGAATGCGTGGGAATAAGTAGAACTAACTTCAGAGTTAGAGCATCCCCAGTGGATATAGCCCATTTTACGAAGCATGGAACGTCGAGAATGATTTAGTAATTTCACATTGCGAGAGATATTTTTCTATTTTTTAATCTTTTACGGCTTTGGGTAGTGTGCCAAGTGGGGCCCACACCCCACTCCACCTTCCCTATAGTCTCTCCCGTGTCTCCCCATCTTTTGGGCCCCTTCTCTCGTGCTGCCACCTCACTTATTCTCACCCTTTTTAGCTCTCTTCATCAAACTCTCTCTTCTTCGCTGCAAACTGAGACCATCACCACCGCCAACGACGCTACTCTGGTGAGTTCTCAAGCCACTACCCTCATGTCTCATCTCATCTCTCTCTCTCTCTCATACACCTCAAACTTCTCTCTTTGCTCTCTGTGCATAGTGCACCGATCCACCACCAACTCGCCACTCCGATGAGAATCACCGCCAAAAATCCTAAACATCACCTTATCTCCTAGCCGAAAATCCAAAACGTCACCTTATTGCTGTTTACAATAGTTGTTCTCATATTTGGAAACTATACCTATTTTATGGCAAAGTGTTACACGTTTTCGAAAACGTTACAAAGCTTTATGTTCAAGCACACTCACTTTTGTTTGCCCATTCAAGATTTAGTGGCAGGACTCTTGTGTCGACGAGGATTTATGGAAAAAATTGATTTAGAAGATTACTTCCAATGGTATAATTCTTATCTTACTTTTACTGTACTTTACTTATACTCTGACATCATGTATGAAATGGGTTCCATCCTGCTCACACGCGTACTTTTGTACTTGGTCACTTTTAGGCTTAAATTTATTCAGATTTTCCACATCACCACATTTTATGGCTTCGTCACCTTCATAGTGTCAGCCAACACAACTTGATTTGAAGTCCAGGTGGACATTTCGGGTTGAAGGGCGTGTTAATTGAAACTTGTGGTTGGGCCAATTTTGATTAGAAAGATATCTTGAAATAGGTCGATCATGTTTCCCTTCTGTTATGATGATTACTTTTCAAGTTCAAGGTTTTGAGCAAATACATGGATGCATTGCAAGTGAAATTACATTTTGCCTCCTCCTCCTCCTCCGGCGATCTTAGTTGTCGTCCGTCGCTCTTGCCAAATTTTACCAGCTCAGCTCGCACTAGCAAGTTTCTCTTTTGCTTTGCTATTCATTTCTGAAAGAATTTTGTGCTCTTGAAGTTTGTTCCTGAAAGTTGGAAACTTTGCTGTGATGGAATTGATGTGTTTTGAGTGTTGTTTTAGCTCTGTGAAATCTGATAGGTTTTTTAGTATTTTGAGGGTTTAATGTTGAAATATTGTGGGTTTATCACCATGCCTTCTACACACAATCCGGGTTCTTCTCGGCCTTGACTTCGATACTGATGGATTTCTCTCCATTGCGTGGATTCGGAAACGTTTGGATGATTTTGTTTGTTTTTTTTTCTTTTTTAAACAAACAATATTGTTTACACTGAAAGCTCGAGGATAAAGGTTATTCAATACGATCAACGTCCCCCGAACATCGTTTGGGATGTGGACACGAGCTAGACTGGTACATGTGCAATTACCCACAGTCTCACAATTTGAGCAGAATGGAAAGAGGAATTCACTTTATGGGAAGCGGTGCAAGGCATGCAATGAACTTTTGTGATTTCACATACAGGCAAAAGATATTAAGACCGGAGGAATATCATCGGGCTTACTGCCTTTCGTTGTTAGGCGATATAGATATCGGGCTTAATCAAGCAACAAAAGATGCATTTAAAAGCTTATTGATTGCTTCTCTTTTTGATCCCTCATCAGGCGGACCATTTAAAGGTTAGTATACTTCTTGTTGTATTTGGTATTGTTGATAAGCCTTTACAGTTATTTTACTCTCTTTTTATTTTTCCATCTTATGGCAGTCCATAGCATGAGCAATGACAAAGCAACATTCACGCATGAAAGACAAACATTTTTGAAGTCTTCTAGGACACATTATGACTCTATCAAAACAATTTTTGTGGATTCAATTTTCCTACCATATCCAGCATGTCTGGAAGATATGGATATCCTCACTGCTCGGAGGTAAGTTTTTATTTTGTTTATTACTTTCCTTCTTCGGTTTTCCCATCATGCTTTATATTTGTCTTCTCATAAGATAGATGGTAAGATATGAAGATATAAAAACTGAGACAGGGAAGTTATTCTCTTGTTAGATTGCATGGAAGCATACCTAAATAACTTGTTTTCTAACGCTTATTTTTCACATTCGTTCAACATTAATCCTGATGAGATGGACAAAAATGGACACTCGTTGACGTGGTTGAAAGGAGAAATTACTTCCTAATGTGTTTGGTACATTATCAGGAAGGTTGAATGTCACAAGTTGAAGGGTAAATCCTCCTTGCAACCAAGTCAACAAGTGTACATTGTGCTCTATCTCATCACGTTTAACGCTGAAATGAATGCGAAAGAATAAACATTGAAAAACAATTTATTTAGGTATGCTTCCATACAATCTAACATGAGAATAACTTACTTGCCTTGGTTTTTCTATATTCCTATCGTACCACCTATCTTATGAGAAAACAGATATAAAGCATGACGGGAAAATCGAAGAAGGAAAGTAATTAACGAAATAAAAACTTAATCGAGAGTAGTGAGGATATTCATTTTTTTTGAGACATGTTGGATATATAAGGAAAATTGAATCCACCATAATTATTCTGATAAATCATAATGTGTCCTAGAAGACTCCAAAAAAGTTTGCCTTTCCTACGTTAATGTTGCTTTGTCATTGCTTATGCTATGGACTGCCATACGATGGAAAAATAAAAAGAGTAAAATAACTGTAAAAACTTATCAACAATAACATATACAACAAGAAGAAGTATACTAACCTCTAAATGGTCTGCTTGAGGAGGGATCAAAAAGAGAAGCAATCAACAAGCTTTTAAATACATCTTGTGTTGCTTGATTAAGCCCAATATCTAGCTCGCCTAACAACGAAAGACAATAAGCCCGATGATATTCCTTCGGTCTTAATATGTTACGCCTGTATGTGAAATTGCAAAAGTTCATTGCATGCCTAGCACCGCTTCCCATAAAGTGAATTCCTCTTTCCATACCAATGTTTTAAAAGACGCGCCCCGAGGCGCGCCTAGACGACTTTGGAGGCGGGGCGGGAGTGATAACGCCTCTGCCCAGTGGGAGTGGGCGAAAACTTGCCGAGGCGTGGTCGAGGCGAGACTAGGCGGCTGAGGCGCGCCTAAAGGCGGTTGGCGAGCGTTCCTAGATCTATCTGCGACCCAAAATCAAAGTAGAATGCTCTGTTTTCAGGCTCTGCCATCTGGGTTTAGGGTTGCAGGTGTGTGGCGTCTTCACAAGGAAGACGATCGCGAAGAAGAAGGAATTTTGTTTTTTTTTAAAGACTTGGTCCAAAACGACGTCGTTTTGGCCAAGTCTTTAATTTTTTTTAAATGACTTGGCCCAAAATAACGTCGTTTTGGCCAAGTCTATTTTTCTTTTATTTTTAAAACCCCAAGCGTCCCTGTTTCCTCTGTTTTTCTCACCTATCCCCTATTATTTAAGGTCTCATAAGGCTTCGCCTCACGCCTAGGCCAGGCTATCCCTCGGACGGCTCGCCCACGCCTCACGCTTTTAATACATTGTTCCATACAATCATAATGTCTCCCATAAGACTCCAAAAATGTTGTTTTTACTACGTTAATTTTTCTTCGTCATTGCTCATGCTATGGACTGACATAAGATGGAAAAATAAAAAGAGCGTAAGATAACTGTAAAGGCTTATCAACAATAACAAATACAACAACACCAAATATACTAACCTCTAAATGGTCCGCTAGAGTATGGATCAATAAAAGAAACAATCACCAAGATTTCAAATGCATCTTGCGTTGCTTCAAATGCTGTCTTGACTAAAGTGTTTCCTGCTGCGACAAACAAAACAAAAAATAAGGGTAGCATACGCCATATTATGTCCACACTTGTTATTGTACATACCACAAAGCTGACAACATATTACATAGCCCTCGCCAACCTTAGTTATGTCATCTGAGACACGACACAAGTAGGGGCAGAATGACAAACAGTGGCGACCATGAATGCAAATTGGCCAGGTTGAAGTTGTATCCTCTGGACAGATTGGAATTCTCTCATCTGAAGAAGCTGGAGTTGCATCCTCTGGACAGATTGGAATTCTCTCATCTGAAGAAGCTGGAGTTGCATCCTCTGGACAGATTGGAATTCTCCCCTTTGAAGAAGCTGGGGTTGTATCCTCCTCACAAGTTTGAGGATTCCTAGTTTTTGAAGATGGAGTGGTTCTTTACGCTTCTCTGTTGGTTTGCAAAGGAAATGGACGGATAAATCAATAAATAATGAATATATAGACAATGTATGTATGTAAGCTAAACAAGGCATCTGGACCTTTAGCACATTTATCCAAAAAAAAACTTAGAGGCCCCCTTAATTACTTTGTATTCTCGACCGATCTCATTCAAATCAAATACTTGCTACTGATCAATTACATTTGATTCCACTCTAGGAACATTTCATAATCACTTATCAATCAAATGCTTACTACTGCACGCTTCATGTTCAACTAAATTTGATTAGACTCAAGGTTGATTTGTTAGGATAACAAAAGCCATATTCATGCCCCCTCTATAGCTACCTGAAGAAATTACTACAGTTATTCCCCTACGAAACGAAATTATGTTTGAGAATTCTACACCGGTAACCAATCGGCCAAGCGTACAAATTACTACTCAATTATATTACCTTATTTCTTTATTTTCAAATCAAACAAAATAACGATACATACATATTTTCAATACAAATAAAAATTGGAATTTTAAGATTAATCAGGTATGAGAAATTATTAAGCAGTGACCAAAAAAAACAAACATTTGTTTAATCAAACTCAAAGCATGAATGCAATGTACATATGCAGATTGCAAACGGAACTAGCACAATTAAGGTACAAATTCGAAACCTAAAAACAAGCAGCATACCAAGAGGAGTCCAGATCTCACCTCGTTGCTTCGGTTGGCCTCGATTATACCAATCGACGGATTCTGAGAGCTCGGCCAGTGCCCACAGATGGGCGATCACTGGCTCCGGGTCGGCGGTTCCAATCGCCGAATTCTGGGAGCTTGGGGTCGGGAGTTCATGTGCTTCGTTTGCAGAGAACGATTGAGAGATTACTCGAGTTTGGCTAGGGTTAAGGAAATTGGCGAGCTCGACTTTTCTTATATATACACACACACACTAGTGAATGGCCACACACACAAAATATGTGAAATTTTTTAAGATAAATTACATTTTATCATATCAAGTTTATCGTCAATTACAACCTCATACAACATTTCTCAAACAATTTCTATTAGTTTTTCTGTTATCTGCCTATATGGACGTCAGGGTGCCACAACATACATGACACGTGTATAAAAACAAAACAAAAATTAAAAATCTCGCTTTAAAGAAAAAGAATGGTTAGAATAATTTTATTTTAAAACTTTTTTAAAAAAGAAAAAAAAAACTAATGAAAATGACTTGAAAACTTTGAGTTTTAACGATAAGGACAAAATAGAGGGTAAAGTGAATAGTAGCAAGATTGACTTTTTAATGTAAAAATATTGTTTTTCGTTAAAATAAACAGTACCGCAGGTTTTTCGTTAAAACTTCAAAAAAAAAATCCTAAAACACAATTAAGCCCAAATTGCCTCATGGACCCATCCCTTCTTTCCGGTCGACGTCGCACCGTCTTAACCAGGCTCGGCTGCGCGACGATGCAAATGTGCCTCATGTTCTTCACAGCCCATCCGACCTTTTGGGTTCGACACTCCAAGACAGCCATGTCCCATTTCCACAGCCTCCCCACAGTGGAGCTCGGCCGCGCCTGCTTCACGACTTTGAGGTAACATCAAAACCAGAGGCTTGGTTGATGAAACTCGGCATTCATTGGATCTGGGTTCTCTTAGAGGGGTGTAGTCAAATTAAGATTTGACATGATTTTAATGGACTTTAAAATTAGAGTGTAGTCAATTAGGATTTTAGAAAAGGATTTTAAAAGACTTTGAAATCATGGTGTAGTCAAATTAGGATTTAAGAGGATTTTAAAAATACATTCAAATCCAAAGGTAGTCAAGTGAGATTTTAAAAGACATTTTTAGAATGATTCTAAATCTATGGGTATTCAAAAAATAAAGATTTGGTAGGATTTCATGAAAAAATGAATTTCGTTGGATTTGAGAGCTTGAAGTATATATACCCAACACCAAATACAATCCCACCTCAACCCCTAGGATTTCTTTCAAGCTTATGTTCCATTCTCTCTCTTCGGCCCTCACTTCTCAGCTATAAGTAGCAGGAGAACCACTTCTCTTGTCCATATACTGGTGAATCAATACTCGCACACCTTTGACCCTTTCCATTATTGTTCTTTATATTTGTATGCCTCAATTTGGTAAAAGGTCAGTTATACTCATTGAATTTGCCATGGAAGTAGTAGGTTTGTCAATAGAGTTGCAGATTGACTTAAGCTACGAAAATATACCATTTCAAATCAAACCCAGAAGCTTGATTACCATACCAATCGACAAAGTAAGACCAAAATTCAAAATCCACCATCTATAATGTAAGAACATATCGACCCATTGGTAAAAAAATCAAAACCAAAGAAGAAGAATTTGATTTGCACCTGAAAATCCAATTGAATCACTAGTCGATGCCCCGAATTGAATTTGAATAAAAAAACAATCATTCTTCAGGGAGACAGACAATGGATAAGACAATTAAAAAGTGTGAATTGGGTTGACAGGCCGGCTTCAAAAGGAAGCAGCTGCACAATCATGTTTTAGGACACAGAGGGAGAAAATGGTTTTTCTTTTGTTATTTGAAAAAAATACAATTTAATAAAGATAAATGAAAATAAAAGACTATGCAAATCCATCAAAATCTACAAATAAAATCCATACAAATCCACAATTTACCCAATTTTTTATTTTTGTTTTTAAAATTGAAGGAGAGATGAAGAAAGTGAGAGAGAACATGAGAGTGGGGGAGAAAGTGAGAGAGGTTCATTTTCTATTTTTTTATTTTTATTTTTTTAAAATTGGAGATGATAAAATCACATATAGGTGAGGCTTAAACAAAGGGAATTATTACTGGCACTCCAAAAATCTCATTTTACACTTCAAACTTTCTATATTTGGAAAGAAAAATACATTTGTGAGAAGTATAGAATGAGATTTTTAGAGTACTAATAACACTTCCCTAAACAAAAAACTATAAAATTTTGTTTTGTGAAATTACATTATTATCCTTAACTTTTTTTTTTGTGATGGAAGACAAAAATATATTTTCACCATTTTTTCGTTGACAATAGGATAAAAATTGAGTAAATTGTAGCAATGGTCCCTCAATTTTGATCAAATTGGAGTAATGGTCCCTCAACTAAAAATCCATTACCATTGGTTCCTCAACGTATCAAAATTTGTAGCTGTGACATCCCATATCGCCCAGGGGAGTGATCCTTAAATGTATATTCCCATCTCTACCTAGCACGAGGCCTTTTGGGAGCTCACTGGCTTCGGATTCCATTGGAACTCCGAAGTTAAGCGAGTAGCGCGCGAGAGCAATCCCATGATGGGTGACCCACTGGGAAGTTCTCGTGTGAGTTCCCAGAAACAAAACCGTGAGGGTGTGTTGGGGGCCCAAAGCGGACAATATCGTGCTACGGTGGTGGAGTGGGCCCGAGAAGTGATCCGCCCCGGGCCGGGATGTGACAATTGGTATCAGAGCCTAACCCTGGCCGTGGTGTGCCGACGAGGATGTCGGGGCCCTAAGGGGGTGGATTGTGACATCCCACGTCGCCCAGGGGAGTGATCCTTAAATGTATATTCTCATCCTTACCCAGCACGAGGCCTTTTGGGAGCTCATTGGCTTCGGGCTCCATTGGAACTCCGAAGTTAAGCAAGTAGCGTGCGAGAGCAATCCCATGATGGGTGACCCACTGGGAAGTTCTCGTGTGAGTTCCCAGAAACAAAACCGTGAGGGTGTGCTGGGGGCCCAAAGCGGACAATATCGTGCTACGGTGGTGGAGCGGGCCTGGGAAGTGATCCGCCTCGGGCCGGGATGTGACAGTAGCTATAGTCATTTTTATCAATTTTGTCAAAATAAGTTATGTTGGGATAACTATTTATATAATAAGGGTCCCTCAACTCATCAAAGTGTGTAATTATGGTCATTTTCGTGAACTACATCAAAATTTTTGTCAAAACAAGTTATGTTGGAAGGACCATTGCTACAATTAGGTTAAAGTTAAGAGACCATTTCTTTAATTGAATTAAAGTTGATGGGCCAATGGTAATGGATTTTTAGTTGAGAGACCATAGCTGCATGTTTTGATAAGTTGAGGGAACAATGGTAATGAATTTTTAGTTGAGGGACCATTACTCTAATTAAGTTATGGTAATGAATTTTTAGTTGAGGGATCATTACTCTAATTAAGTTAAAGTTAAGGAACCATAACTACAATTTACTCGATAAAAGTTAGAAGGCAAAAAAGTTGAAACGTTCCTAACTTTAAAATTACCCCTCCTTAATTAAATTTTAAAATAAAAAAATTTAATTAACAAAATTCTACCATATACGTGGGTAATTTTTATTCCTTTATTTTTATTATTTTTTAAATAAAGAATATTTTAAATATAATCTAAAAATATATTAATGAAATCCTCTTTATCAATAAAAAAAATAAAAATATATTTTTGATCTTTTATCATAATAAAAAAATTAAAAACAATAACATCATTTTACAAAATAAAATTTTGTTATTTTTTGCGTAAAAAAATTTTAAAAATTCCATTTAAGAAAAGTGTGGTTAAAAATAAAATTATTTTAAAACTTAAAAAACGAAAAACGAAAAATAAAATCTGAAAACTTCATTCTCCTTCCCGAAGATGAACTCATCCCGACGACCATCGGCGATGGGGATCGGACGGCACCGCCTTCAACGTTGTGGAAACCGACGAGGATTAGCCGAGAACCCAGTTCTTCCACGTTACCAATTCAATCTCGATAATCCCTTCCCTCACAACCTAGATCCGGCGAGACGTCATTTGCAATCCCCAATCCCCACAACTCGGATTCAACCCAGAATCCAAAACCCATTATCCTCCATGTCTCTCTGTATCTCCGCCATGGCTATGCTGTCAACCTAATCGCAGAGCAAGAGACGAACCCATTAAACCCCATCACCAAATTGTGGATTGGGATCGACAGCGGCACTCGATTCTTTCCATTGGAGAAGAGCTCCAAACCTTCGACGGCACTCGATTCTCTTCAAACTTTTGTGAACCGTCAACATACTCAACGCCTTTGAAGTCTCAAGGCCGCCTTGGAGAAGACTACCTAGCAGCTCGACCAAGCCTTGGAGAAGAACATCCCGAGCTACTCCTATCTGCACGAGACGCTGTACGACGTCGACTGCATCGAGAGGATCCTCGGCTACTTCTTGGACAGCTTGGATCAGGAAAAAAAACACTGTAATCAAAGACGACGACGGTACGGACGGCGGCTACTGATCCTCGTTGGCGATGGTCGGGATGAGTTCACTTTGGGAAGGAGAGTGAAGTTTTCTGATTTTTTTTTTTTAAAGGGTAAATATTAATATATTTTAAATGCATAAAAAATTATTTTTCTTACCACGTGACATTAATGTGACAGCCACGTTAGCATAAATGTGGATTTTATATTTGCTACGTCATCACATAATAGTTTACTTAACAGATTTTCTAATGGATGTATGAAATTGAAATAAAATGATAAGTAAATGTATGAAATTGAAATGTTTCAAAGATGTTGTAAGAAATTGAAATTGACCCCAAATATAAGGGGGTAAAATGTAATTAACCCTTTATTTTTCGTTTCGTTTAAAATAATTTTATTTTTAAATGGGATTTTTTAAATATTTAAGTTTATTCGCATGACACAAATTTTGTGGGCTCTAGGACATCCACATGGACAGATAAGAGGAAAATTAACAGAAATTTTAACGGATGTATGAAATTGAAATGAAATTAAAATAAATATATGAAATTAAAATGTTTTGACGATGTTGTGTGAGGTTACAATTACACCCAAACTTGAGAAGGCAAAATGTAATTTGGGATGTGTGTATATAATCTCTTCTTCTTTAACCCATAATCTCCCACTTCAAAAGCCTTTCCTTCCAAATTCCACGCCCAATTTTATTTCCTTTTTCCTTCAAAAAGG